AATAATAAATTAATAGATAATTTATTATTATGCCTCTTTCCTTCTCAAGAGGAAGAAAGTCTATCATTTTTGCTTTATAACAAATAGAAACAACCTTTATGTTTTCATTCAAATTCTAGTAAACATTACTGAAAAATACACAGAAAAGTTATAAGCCTAGGAGGATGGGGCAATAAGAGAAAGTTCTGTAGCCCATTATAATTAGTTAAAGAAAGGAGGTTTGAGTGGGAGGAGGAGGAAGGACTCTCATTCTGTTTGTTCCCAAATACTGAGGAAGGTGGGCAAGAACTAAATTAACACTTTAATACTTCATATAATTTAGCTTCCGAGTGTTTGTTACAGTGTTAATCCTTGGGTTCCAAGTAACTGTAATTCTAAGAAGTATTAATTCTGTTGTCAAATAACAGTACATGATATCATTTCACTTGCACACACTGAGATTGGAATTCCACATCTTTCACTTACCTGTAAAAGGATAAAATATGCTCTAAGATCATCTTTTGTTCGTAGGCTGAAAAAGGAACATGCATAACTGATTACAGATGGTGTTTAATTTCATCATATATAACATCTATGACCAATAAATGTTTCTTTAAGAACTAAGGCAAAAATAAATTTAAATTTACATTCAGTGTTTTATTGTTATAGTAACATGTTTATTATGCTGGGAACACAGTAGGCTGGTTCTGAGTATTACTTAAAGAATGAGGTGGTCAGGAGAGCTAAAACATTTCAAGGTAAATTTCACACCAACTCTGGAAATAGTTAAGTCTATAAAGTCTAATAAATCAGCAATTTTATAATACTTATATTTTGTTTTCATAAGGGATAAACTTTAATATTTACTTAATTATGTATTAAGGAAAGAAAATATGCTTGTGTTTATGGTCCATTCCTAAAGTGACACAGAAATGTCTGTAAATCAATCCATACTTTTTTTTTTTGAGACAGGGTCTCCCTGTAGCCCCAGCTGTCCTGGAACTCACTATGTAGACCAGGCTGGCCTTGAACTCACAGAGATCTGCCTGCCTCTTCTTCCTGAGTGCTGGGATTAAAGGCGTGTGCCACCACGCCTGGCTACAATCCATACGTTTAAGTACATCTAGCATTTACCAATTAAAAGAATCTTATTTTGGCTACCACTGAAAAATAATGTTTTTCAATGTTAATCTGGATTTTCACTTTATCAGTTTTATCCAACAGTTTTTGTTATTCCCAAATCTGATCAGTGTTTCCCATCTGTTCAAGATCCATATAATACACTGACAGATACTCAGAAGTAATTTTCTGAATTTGAAATGATTAAAAATGTTTCACCAACATGAAATCAGATGGAATTCAAGATCCTTGAGGGGATCCTGGATTGAAAAACAAAACTCAGATATTAAGATTTTTGTTATTCTCAAGGATGATGAGTGACTTGTCAGCTCAAGACATTTTTATCTATTAATTTTGCCTCCAAGTCCTTTCCCTTTCCATTTAGGACTTAATAAAATTGGCAAGTGACATTTATTTTTATGTGAATTATTAGGCATAGGCAACAAATAGCATGAATGAGTTTGACTGCTTAAATGTTTCTGATGATGTTTTTCTGGTAGTACTCAGGAGTGGTCAAGTCCCAGTTTGGCCTCAACTCTTCTAGGTACTTTTTTGAGACCAGTAACTTATTCTTTGAAAAATTTTCATTGGCTATCAAGAAGCCCAAGGTCACTGACTTGTACCCATTCTGTATCTATATAGCACATATCCTGTACACAAAAATCTTTACATACAATTTTAAAAGATTCACCAATTTCCTTATGCTTATCTATGGATCCTGAGAAATTCCAAATCTTAGTAAGTTAAACAGCTTTGCTCTAAGTAATCTATAATCCCTTTCTGATCCATGTCATTATTAAATCTCATCTAAAATATTTTCTAAGAGTAAAACATGAATACATATATTAAAGATATATGAGATTTGTAACTAAGTCATCTATACTGATTAAATACTAGTTACAGTTACCCTTTCCATTCTCGTAACAAGCTGTTAATGATTCCCTTTAATACTGTCTTCTGAATATCTTGAGGCTGGAAGCAAAAGAAAGCAATAAGGTATAATAACTAGAATTAGATATTTTATGATTATATGATAATAATCATAACTAAATAGTTATATTTACAGATCTGTTCCAACAATTACAATCAGATTCACTACTGAGGAATGACACTTCAGTAGGATCCATGAGAACTCCAGGGAGCACCAATCACGTACTGACACTATGAGGATGCACCCTGGCATGTGCAGTGTAAGATCTGCAGAAATATACATGATGGTCCTTTGATGACCAGCAGGAGCCTTTCTATAACTGAAAAATAATTTCACTTTCACTTACTGGGCAAGACAAAAATAATGAAACCAAGTCCAAGAGCATCAAGTTTACTAATCTAAAATGGTTGGCATACATTTTGGATCCACACACACACTTATTAAAATTATACATTTTTATTATTCTTTAATTATGTGTATATATGTGTTTGTGTGTATTTGTAAACTTGAGTGCAGTACTAGAGTTACAAGCTGCTTGTGAGCTCCCTGACCTGGGTGTTGGAAATTGAATTCAGGGCCCCTGGAAGAGCAGTACACGTTCTTAACTGCTGAGCCATCTCTCCAGCCCCAAATTATACATTTTTTTGAGCCAAAGGTTTTGATGTGTGACCCAGGTTGGCCTTCAACTTCAGATCCCCATCAGCCTCCTAAATGTTGGGATTATAGATGTGTGTCATCATACCTGGGTATTCTGAATGCATTTAGTTGTACCAAGTTACAATTAACAAATAAATTTAGCAAGTGCAACCAAATTTTAATTAAAATATATCTTTATTAGAGAATAGATTGGGAAAATATATAAAATATTGCTCCTTTATATTTTAATGATTCAAATTCTAAAAATTTTACTACTAGACATCTTAAATAAAAATGAATGAAAATGGGTTAGCAAGAGGGCTTAATGGATAAGGGTGATAGCTGTCAAGCGTAATGACTTTAGTTCAATCCTTAGAACATGACAGAACACACATGCATGCATACGTGTGCACACACACACAAATTGGAAAAAAGAATGATTGAAAATGACATGGACCTAGATGAACTTTAATATTATAATAGAATAAAAGCTTTAATAACTAGATAGCTCATAAATCAGAAAAAAATCATGTTGTTACATAAAAAAGTAAATGTCAAGAAAAAAAGAATATATTGTAAACCTATTTAAAAGCCACAACTGTCGCTTCCAAGACACATAAGCAAATAGTCACTGGGTCTAGCTCATATGTTATATATACACATACATTTAGTATGTCATTCCTTTTTAACTGTCTCTGCTTACAGTGATCCTTCCTACAGAGAGGACAAACACTATCCCTGCATAACCGCTTATTTGGTGTCTTCCCTCAGCAATGGACAGCTACAGGAGAAAGATGTAATCAAATGTGCTGACTGTGCTGTGCATTGTATTTATTATTACAAAGCTCAAAAGGACTGCCAACAATGACAGTCCTACAATATGTGTCTACTTTTCAAAACAATTGTATTCCAAAACCCCTCTCAGTATTTTATTTTTTAGATTTCCATGATACATTTTTGAAGAGTTTAGGCAATTTGTTTTGCTGAATATCTTAATTTGAGGTTTCTGATATTTTCTTACCATTAAATTTTTGGCAGGAAGACTCTTAAATGATGTGTCCTCATTGCATTAAATAAAAAAATCACATGATGTCAGTTGCTGGTCTGTGATGTAGTTAATTAACTAAGATAATGATTGCCTCAATTATTACTATGATGGTTGCAGGTCTTAATTTTCAAAATGACCGTTCCTTCTGCCTTTATCTGTCCAATTTCTTTCATTCCTCCTACCTTTATCTATCTGGGTTACTAATAAGCATGATTCAAATATTCTTAACCCAGTGGTTATAATTCATTGCTACAATTTTTATCTTTTTTTAAACTG